CTTTCTGTCATCAAACGGCACTGCCTTCTCACTTGCTGTCATCAAACGGCACTGCCTTCTCACTTGCTGTCATCAAACGGCACTGCCTTCTCACTTGCTGTCATCGAACGGCACTGCCTTCTCACTTGCTGTCATCAAACGGCACTGCCTTCTCACTTGCTGTCATCAAACGGCACTGCCTTCTCACTTGCTGTCATCAAACGGCACTGCCTTCTCACTTGCTGTCATCAAACGGCACTGCCTTCTCACTTGCTGTCATCAAACGGCACTGCCTTCTCAAACACGATAGAGTAGAGCGACGAGCGAATCACCGCCCGCGTGGGCGCCATGCCGCCCGGCCCGGCAGCAGCCTTGGCGGCATCAATGGCCCGCTGCTGCTTGTACCTGGCGGGGCGGACAAGTGGGGATGTGGCGGGGAATGGATGAGTAGAAGCAAAAGATCTGTGCTCCCTACACCACGCGGTGTTGCTTCCTACATCATACAGTGTTGCTCCCTACACCACGCGGTGTTGCTTCCTACACCACATGGTGGTGCTTTCTACACCACACGGTGTTGCTTTCTACACTACATGGTGGTGCTTTCTACACCACATGGTGGTGCTTTTTACAACACACGGTGTTGTTCCCCACTGCTTCCTACTCCACACGGTGTTGCTCCCCACACCACACCGTGTTGCACCCAACATCCCTGGTCAGCGTGACAAGTGCGCAGCAGCAGAAAGAGGGAAGCAGCCCTGGGTGCTGCGGCGGCCCTGGGCAAGGAGCCTCTTGAAATTAAGATTTTCTCCGCGCACGATTGACCACCACCATTCAAAACTTGCCACTTAGGTTTGACAACGCGGTTCTCGGGTGTAAACACATGCTCTGGCCGGCCGAGCCTGCCCTCCGCCGCGGTCAGCCCAGGTGGATCCACCGTTGGCCCGTACATTGGCCCGTCACATTGGCCCGTCACATTGGCCCGTCACATTGGCCCGTCACATTGGCCCGTCACATTGGCCCGTCACATTGGCCCGTCACATTGGCCCGTCACATTGGCCCGTCACATTGGCCCGTCACATTGGCCCGTCACATTGGCCCGTCACATTGGCCCGTCACATTGGCCCGTCACATTGGCCCGTCACATTGGCCCGTCACATTGGCCCGTCACATTGGCCCGTCACATTGGCCCGTCACATTGGCCCGTCACATTGGCCCGTCACATTGGCCCGTCACATTGGCCCGTCACATTGGCCCGTCACATTGGCCAGTCACATTGGCCCGTCACATTGGTCCGTCACATTGGTCGGTCACATTGGCCCGTCACATTGGCCCGTCACATTGGTCCGTCACATTGGCCCGTCACATTGGCCCGTCACATTGGCCCGTCACATTGGCCCGTCACATTGGCCCGTCACATTGGCCCGTCACATTGGCCCGTCACATTGGCCCGTCACATTGGCCCGTCACATTGGCCCGTCACATTGGCCCGTCACATTGGCCCGTCACATTGGCCCGTCACATTGGCCCGTCACATTGGCCCGTCACATTGGCCCGTCACATTGGCCCGTCACATTGGCCCGTCACATTGGCCCGTCACATTGGCCCGTCACATTGGCCCGTCACATTGGCCCGTCACATTGGCCCGTCACATTGGCCCGTCACATTGGCCCGTCACATTGGCCCGTCACATTGGCCCGTCACATTGGCCCGTCACATTGGCCCCTCACATTGGCCCCTCACATTGGCCCCTCACATTGGCCCGTCACATTGGCCCGTCACATTGGCCCGTCACATTGGCCCGTCACATTGGCCCGTCACATTGGCCCGTCACATTGGCCCGTCACATTGGCCCGTCACATTGGCCCGTCACATTGGCCCGTCACATTGGCCCGTCACATTGGCCCGTCACATTGGCCCGTCACATTGGCCCGTCACATTGGCCCGTCACATTGGCCCGTCACATTGGCCCGTCACATTGGCCCGTCACATTGGCCCGTCACATTGGCCCGTCACATTGGCCCGTCACATTGGCCCGTCACATTGGTCCGTCACATTGGCCAGTCACATTGGCCCGTCACATTGGCCCGTCACATTGGCCCGTCAACATTGGTCCGTCACATTGGCCCGTCACATTGGTCTGTCACATTGGCCCGTCACATTGGTCAGTCACATTGGCCCGTCACATTGGCCCGTCACATTGGCCCGTCACATTGGCCCGTCACATTGGCCCGTCACATTGGTCCGTCACATTGGCCCGTCACATTGGCCCGTCACATTGGCCCGTCACATTGGCCCGTCACATTGGCCCGTCACATTGGCCCGTCACATTGGCCCGTCACATTGGCCCGTCACATTGGCCCGTCACATTGGCCCGTCACATTGGCCCGTCACATTGGCCCGTCACATTGGCCCGTCACATTGGCCCGTCACATTGGCCCGTCACATTGGCCCGTCACATTGGCCAGTCACATTGGCCCGTCACATTGGTCCGTCACATTGGCCCGTCACATTGGCCCGTCACATTGGCCCGTCACATTGGCCCGTCACATTGGCCCGTCACATTGGCCCGTCACATTGGCCCGTCACATTGGCCCGTCACATTGGCCCATCACATTGGTCCGCAGCGTGGGTGGTCCGGCACCCGCGCTGGGCCGGACTGGCCCGGCCGGCCAGCCCACCCTGGCCCGACCCAGACTAGCACGGTCTGGTCCGTGCTCGTTCAATTTCTACCGTATCAGGTTGAACCAGGGTGCGGGTCTGACCAGTCGCTATGCTTATCAGAAGGTGGAGTAGCGGCGCAACCGCAGTGGGCGGAGGAGCAACAGAGGGAAGACATGATGGTTGCTGAACACGATAAAGGTGTAAAGTTCTAAACAAGCAGCAGACCAGAGCGTGGAGGAGTCGGGCATACCAGAGCGTGGAGGAGTCGGGCATACCAGAGCGTGGAGGAGTCGGGCATACCAGAGCGTGGAGGAGTCGGGCATACCAGAGCGTGGAGGAGTCGGGCATACCAGAGCGTGGAGGAGTCGGGCAGACCAGAGCGTGGAGGAGTCGGACATACCAGAGCGTGGAGGAGTCGGGCATACCAGAGCGTGGAGGAGTCGGGCATACCAGAGCGTGGAGGAGTCGGGCATACCAGAGCGTGGAGGAGTCGGGCATACCAGAGCGTGGAGGAGTCGGGCATACCAGAGCGTGGAGGAGTCGGGCATACCAGAGCGTGGAGGAGTCGGACATACCAGAGCGTGGAGGAGTCGGGCATACCAGAGCGTGGAGGAGTCGGGCATACCAGAGCGTGGAGGAGTCGGGCATACCAGAGCGTGGAGGAGTCGGGCATACCAGAGCGTGGAGGAGTCGGACAGACCAGAGCGTGGAGGAGTCGGGCATACCAGAGCGTGGAGGAGTCGGGCATACCAGAGCGTGGAGGAGTCGGGCATACCAGAGCGTGGAGGAGTCGGGCATACCAGAGCGTGGAGGAGTCGGGCATACCAGAGCGTGGAGGAGTCGGGCATACCAGAGCGTGGAGGAGTCGGGCAGACCAGAGCGTGGAGGAGTCGGGCATACCAGAGCGTGGAGGAGTCGGGCATACCAGAGCGTGGAGGAGTCGGGCATACCAGAGCCTGGAGGAGTCGGGCATACCAGAGCGTGGAGGAGTCGGGCATACCAGAGCGTGGAGGAGTCGGGCATACCAGAGCGTGGAGGAGTCGGGCATACCAGAGCGTGGAGGAGTCGGGCATACCAGAGCGTGGAGGAGTCGGGCATACCAGAGCGTGGAGGAGTCGGGCATACCAGAGCGTGGAGGAGTCGGGCATACCAGAGCGTGGAGGAGTCGGGCAGACCAGAGCGTGGAGGAGTCGGGCATACCAGAGCGTGGAGGAGTCGGGCATACCAGAGCGTGGAGGAGTCGGGCATACCAGAGCGTGGAGGAGTCGGGCATACCAGAGCGTGGAGGAGTCGGGCATACCAGAGCGTGGAGGAGTCGGACATACCAGAGCGTGGAGGAGTCGGGCATACCAGAGCGTGGAGGAGTCGGGCATACCAGAGCGTGGAGGAGTCGGACATACCAGAGCGTGGAGGAGTCGGGCATACCAGAGCGTGGAGGAGTCGGGCATACCAGAGCGTGGAGGAGTCGGGCATACCAGAGCGTGGAGGAGTCGGGCATACCAGAGCGTGGAGGAGTCGGGCATACCAGAGCGTGGAGGAGTCGGGCATACCAGAGCGTGGAGGAGTCGGGCATACCAGAGCGTGGAGGAGTCGGGCAGACCAGAGCGTGGAGGAGTCGGGCATACCAGAGCGTGGAGGAGTCGGGCAGACCAGAGCGTGGAGGAGTCGGGCATACCAGAGCGTGGAGGAGTCGGGCAGACCAGAGCGTGGAGGAGTCGGGCATACCAGAGCGTGGAGGAGTCGGGCAGACCAGAGCGTGGAGGAGTCGGGCATACCAGAGCGTGGAGGAGTCGGGCATACCAGAGCGTGGAGGAGTCGGGCAGACCAGAGCGTGGAGGAGTCGGGCATACCAGAGCGTGGAGGAGTCGGGCATACCAGAGCGTGGAGGAGTCGGGCAGACCAGAGCGTGGAGGAGTCGGGCATACCAGAGCGTGGAGGAGTCGGGCAGACCAGAGCGTGGAGGAGTCGGGCATACCAGAGCGTTAAGGAGTCGGGCATACCAGAGCGTGGAGGAGTCGGGCATACCAGAGCGTGGAGGAGTCGGGCATACCAGAGCGTGGAGGAGTCGGGCAGACCAGAGCGTGGAGGAGTCGGGCATACCAGAGCGTGGAGGAGTCGGGCATACCAGAGCGTGGAGGAGTCGGGCAGCAGGCCGAAGAAGATCCCTCCGGGGGCCAGCAGTGTTGCCACGTTCGCCAGGAACTGTGAAGCCGTGCGCTGCGAGGCAAACCAGTCCTGCACGCCCACGCGTTGGTTGGGGGGGGGGTGAGGGGTGGAGGGGGAGGGGTTATGTGGGGTTAAGGGAGCAGGTGGGTGGGTAAGAGTTGGGGTGGTTACATGCGAGAGCACAAGGCGGTGATTCAGAACAGGGAAAGCTGGCAGTGAAAAGAGAATACAAACAGCATAGCAAGTGGCATGAGGGTTGAAACATGCACCTGCACGCGAGGGCTGCAGCAGACAACGTTGAAGGGCGTGAGGCGCCCCACCGCGGGCAGCGAGAGCTGCGCCTGCAGGAAGACGGCAGTTGGGCACAAGGTCAGAACCCAGCTCATTTCTTTGGGTCTTACACTTGAAATGGTTCTGGTCTCGAACCAGAGAGCAGCCACTCCGATGGTTCACCAACGAGCCAAAGTGGGCCATGCGTGATTTCGATACAACAAACAAGGTTTTTTCCCCAGAAAAACAGATGACAGCTAGGTTGTTTTTTTTCTGAATTGACATGAGGTTCTCTTGAATGGGGAAACGAGGAGGAACCGGATAACTCAGCTGCAACTCTCTACTACGCATACGAGGGAGGGGTCGGCATAGTGGAAGGCGGCGCCATACGGGGCGCCGTGCGCGCGCCACTCCTCCGCCGCCTCCTCCAGCGATGATGGCGTCACGTCTGCCCCGCCCCCCTCCCACCCGTGCCATGGGAGCGAGGGCAGAGCGAATGGGGGGACGGAGGGGGGAAGGAGGAGGAAGTGGGTTGGAACGAAGGGGGAGTGGTGCGCCAGGAAAAGCGAAGTAAAGGCAGGTCGGAGGGGAGATAAAGAGGAGGGGCTCACACGGAGCGAGTGGAGGATTACTTGACGCCCACGAGGCACTCACCGACGCCCAGGTAGGAGTCGATGCGCGCATTGACCCACAGCGGCGTGTCCTCCCCGCGGCCACAGAACATCTCGCACACCTGCGGGCACACACACGCGCGCACAGAGGGGCGCACACAATGCGCAGGGTGAGCACGCATGCATCGTCTGAGCCATGCGCTAAACGACCCCTCTGACGTCTTTTTCCCTCGCCTCTGCTCCTCCTCGTCCCCTCAAAAGCTCTACCGCCCCCCACCGCTCGCTGCCAGGGGGCATGCTACTCTGTGAGCCGCTTTCCCCACCCATCGCCCACCCATCGCCCAGCCATCGCCCGGCCATCGCCCAGCCATGGTGCACCCGTCCCCTCCGAGGGGAGTCCCGGCGGCGTACCTCGTCACCGGGCGCGACGAGTTCCGCCAGCAGCACGCGCTTCGCCCACTGCTGCAGCCCCGCCAGCTGCGAGCTCGCCGTCGCAGGGGCCATCGCGACGACTGGCGACGCCGCTGATAGACTGCAGGTACGGGTGAAGGGTAGGTGCGGTCTAGTGCGGTAGGGTGCGGTCGAGTGCGGTTGAGTGCGGTCTAGCGCGGTGGGGAGCAGTCAGGTACGGTAGGGTGCAGACTAGTGCGGTGGAGAGCGGTAAAGGTGCGGCCGGGTGTGTAACGGTGCAGTGGGGGGCGGTCTAGCATGGTGAGGAGCGGTCAGGGGGGATTTAATGCAGTGGATTGCGGTTAGGAATGGTCTAGTGCGGTGGAATGGGGTGACATGTTAAGGAGTACGGGCAGCTGCACGTGCGCTTATGCTCATGCGAGGCGGTGTGCGCGTGGCTGCGTGCGCGGGCAGCAGGGCCGGGCGCGGAACGGGACGGGGCGGGCAGGGTGTGCGGCAGTGGCTGCTGTGCGCGCGGCGGCGGCTGCTGCGCTTGCGGCGGCGGCTGCTGTCTGCGTGGCGGCGGCTGCTGCGGGCGTGGCGGCGGCTGCTTCTCGTGTGCATGCAGTGGCGCACCCGATCGCGGCTGCTGCTGCTGTGGGACGAAAAAAAGGGGGAGGGGGGGGGGGGGGGGGGGAGGAGGGAGGGAGCAGCGTGCGGCGGCCTATGTGCGCGCGGGTGCGTGCAGGAGCTGCTGCGCGCGCGTTCGACTAGGACAGGGCGTGCTACGGGGCGTTACGGGGCGTTACGGGGCGCGCTAAGGACGGAGCGCATTACGAACGGGGCGAGGCGCATTAAGGGTGGGACGGGGCGCGCTAGGAACTAACCTACTGCTAGGAATCTGAGTGTGGTAGTGCGAGCAGTATCGTGACACAGGAAAGTGTCGCTTCAGTAGTTGACCCGCTAAAAGGCCCAGTTCACGAATAGATACATTACCCAGTAGATACTTTGGTAGACTATATATTTCTTGTACTTTCTCATTATTATCAATTCTTGTTCTCACATTTGACTAGCACAGGATTTCACATACTTCCGCTGCAACACTTATCAAGGCTAAACTCTAAAAGATCCTAAGGCTAGTTTTTCAACCCAACATAGTACCAGAGTATGAGAGTTTACGATCTCCTAGAACCAAAAGTTTTACAATTCTCACTGACTGAATCTGCACTAATAGGGCTAGTTTACATACATGGCACACGGCAACAACGGTACATCACACTTACTAAGTGGAAGTAGTGATACGCAACAACCCTCTGCATCACCACTACTTGGCTCTGATGTGACATATGCCAGCCCTGATCCAACAGCTGCATCTGCAGCTAGATCAAGAGACGCAGGAGGATCTTCCCCGTCGATACTGCTGATGGAGAATGGCGCAGTTGCCATCGATCCTGCGATACAACAAGTCTTCAAGTCTTTATCGGCGTTTATGACATCTGTTGAAGTTTAGAAGAAAGAAGAGGGATGCACTAGCAAGAATGGGGATACAAATAGCAAAACCCTAGAAGAGTTGTACTCGCTATAGAGCACCCCACTACAGGCTAGAGCATAATATTCTGACACACCCCCATAGCCAAAGTGGGGTGTAATCAGCAGAGCAAGCAAAAGAAAACAAGCTCAGGGTGGATCACAATGTCACCACACATTCTGAGCACAAGTACAAGAGGTAGCAGTTTTATAGTTAACAAATGTAAGCAAAGCTAGAGGCTATCACAGAGGGCAAGTGAGGAGGAGGAGAGACTGTGGGGGAGAGAAGATGGGAGGCGACTGCTGACGCTGCAGACACACAGACGAGCTGCTGGCTCAGTGGCTACCGGAACAGCGCTCCGGACTACTGGGGTAACTGGCCCCGCGGCTAAAAGTAGCGGCAGACGAGCAACGGACCCACGGGCGACTGGCGACTACCGGAGATTGTAGCCTCCGGACTGCTGCTGCTGCTGCTGACGACACGACGACCGCCTCCATTCAACCTCCCCCAACTGTCCCACCCCCATTTCACACACCCCCTGTTCAAACCCTAGCTCTACTCACACTCCACCCCCCTAGCACCACTCCGTACACTCCCACACATCCACCCCCCTCAGCGACAGCTGCAGCAGTGGGAGACGAAGGAGGAGGAGGAGCAGGCGACGCCACACACCCGCCACCCCCCAACCGCCACCCCCCAAACCCTAAAAACAGGGTAGGGAGGTAGGGGGGGGGGGGGGCAACGCGCGGCCCCGGCCCCCCCCAGGGTCGCCTCGACAGGCGACGGGAGTTGGGCCGGGGCAGGTCGGGGCCGGGGCAGGTCCGGGACGGGGCGGGGCAGCAGGGGCCGCGCAAGGCTCCCCTGGGCAGCGCGACGGGGCAGCAGGGCCGCGCGACGGGGCAGCAGGGGCCGCGCGCGGCTCCCCTAGGCGGCGCGACGGGGCTGCAGGGGCCGCGCGACGGGGCGACGTGCGGGTCCCCGTCGCCCGTCGCAGCGCCTCCCGGGGGCGACGCGGCGAGTGACGGGGCAGAAACCCGTCGCGCGCCTCGGGGCGCACGGTGGGCAGAAAACCGCCGCGCGCCTCGGGGCGCACGGCGGGCAGAAAACCGCCGCGCGCCTCGGGGCGCACGGCGGGAAGAAAAACTGCCGCACGCCACAGGGCGTGCGGCACAGAGAGTAGCAGTAGCAGTTGCAGCGGAAGCAACAAGGTGGTGAGCCCACCCACAGGATCGATCCAAGGGGATCGACCTGCTCTGATAGCATGTTGAAGTTTAGAAGAAAGAAGAGGGATGCACTAGCAAGAATGGGGATACAAATAGCAAAACCCTAGAAGAGTTGTACTCGCTATAGAGCACCCCACTACAGGCTAGAGCATAATATTCTGACAACATCAGCATGCAAGGAATTTTCTCCACATTCCTCACCGCGACCTGCAACATCGCGTACAGCAGCAGCCATTGTTCGTCCGTTACTGCTAACGGGGCTTCGCCAACTATGCGCGCACTATTTCACCAAACCATGCACCGCTGGCCCGGCCGTATCGGCCTATGCTTCGGGACTAGCCCGAGCCTCGATGCCAGCCTAGCACTAGCTAGCTCGCACGCACCGCGTTACCGTTTGCATGTTTCGCGTATAAATGTTCGCTCATGCCTTCGCTCACATTTTGTACTCGTTTGACAACTTAGTGCAATCCTCGCTACCTCGATTCATTGCACCCGTAACACTTGGTTATCAGAGCCACTTTCTTTTCTGACCGCGCATCTCCGCACCCCAGGAAATCAACTTTTGATTTTTTTCACTCGAAGAGACTCACGCACCTTAGCCCCTAGGAGCCGTTGTCCTCGCGTTCTCTCGTAAACGCGTGCAACCACGACTGCGCCTAGACTAAGCCGAGTCGACGCCCTTCGTAATGGCTGAACATATCGATGTCACGACACTCACGCAGGACCGCCTGAACGAACTGCTGCGCCTGCTGCACGAAAATTCAGAAGAAATTGCGGCGCTGACGGCGGAACGTACGTCCCTGCAAAACGACGTCGCACGAGCACAACAAGCACAGTCACAAGCACCTGGCACTCCCGTACAGCCTGCACCACAAGCATCGCAGCACGGAAGTGTGGGGCAACCCGCGAGCGCGGCCAGTGATGGCGTCGTCCGCCACGACGGAGACGACGACCACGGCACGACACACCCCGAAGCGACGAATGCGGCCAGGAACCAGCCTCGCGTCACGATTTCGACACCGATCAACGATTCGGCACTGCTGTCACCGATGCCGCTGAAGCCGCTGCGTCCGCCATGTTTTGACCCGAGTCAACGGGGTGGTCCTACCGTTCAAGCGTGGTTGTTCACGATGAACGTGTTTTTTTACGCCAACTACGTCTCGGAGGATATGCCGAAAATTCGCTACGCCGTGTCGTTGCTGCGAGGACCCACCATGGATTGGTGGCGTGTCATCGTCACGAAGCCGAACGACTACGCGACTCTACCGACACGGGAAGGACAAACTGGACCCTGGGCGCCGTCGTATTTCGAGGAGGTGCCCCAATATCGCACGTGGGATGCGTGGTGCGCAGGTCTGCATACTCGATTTGAGCCAATTGCGGCTTCGATCGCGGCGCGTCAGAAGCTCCGCACTTGGAGCCAACTCGGTTCCGTCCAAAATTATTCTAGCGGGTTTCTGGCGCTGTGTGAGCAAGTGGGATATATGCACGAGGGCGAGCGTATCGACCGCTACATCGGCGGCCTGCAGCACGACATCGCTCAAGAAATTCAGCTCCGCTGCATGACCGACTTTCAGGAGATTCTTGCCATGGCGGAGAAACTCGATTTCTTTCGCCGACCGAGACTGGGGTACGGAAGCAACAGCACCTGGGGACATTGATCTCGTGGGACAAACGAGGGCGCTCATCATGTCTTATAGGGCGAATACGTGCTAGGCGCGGACCTCGGGATGTGCATGGGTTGGACTTGTCGCGATTAGTGCGGAGCGATTCGGCAGTGGTTCGGGCCGAAGTGTAGGCCGAACCGAAAACTGGCGCGAAGTGCCCGAGGCTGTACGCCTTAGAAGCAGACCCAGTAATGAGTTGCTATATTCATTACACTAGAGGAGAACCTCTCCATCCAAAAAGGGTACACTCATAGGTGTCCCTCTCAGATCAACAGTTAACAAAATTACCATACCATATGCTGTCAAGATACTAGGCTTAAAAGAAACTTGGGTTCTAGGAAGACATGGAGTTGGGAACAAAGAAGGGGTTTGCAATATGAGAGAGCTACAAGATATAGGAAAGGTGGACAAATGGGGTATACCACCAAGGCCCTACACCACTAGCTAAAACATGCAATTATGTAATAATACACCATATTCTGACATCCCCCCTTTGATTGCATGCAGACTAGTTGGTGTAGGGAGCGCATCAATCACCGTGCAGCAGCTGGGCCCTTCGGTAGGATACCCGCCTACGTTTTAACCCCCACAATGGATGCCCGGTGAGAGCGACGAGGGGCGAACACGCGAGACGACGGAAACGAGGGGCCTAATCTCTCTCTCTCTCTCTCTCTCTCTCTCTCTCCCTCTCTCTCT